ATCTCTATCAGAGAGAGGCAGCAAAAGGGGAGGAGCAGACTGTTGCCAGGAGGGAAGGGGTAGCTGGATCTGAGGTGCCAAGTAGCAACTCCCAGACCTCGGCATTTTTAAACTGCCGCTTGTGCACACGGAACTCAGCTGGGGCTTTGCCCACCCCCCAACCTCAGGTGGCACTCTGACTCTGCTGCCTCCCCCCCGGGGCATGCTTGGGCTCACTGCCCCCCATGCACTGCCGCTCTCTCCCCCCCGCACCTCTCCCCATCTTGCTGGGGAAGCAGCAGAGGGTGTAGATCAGAGAGGGGGAACTAAAGCCCCGGGGGCCCCCGGCAGCCCCTGGCTTGCCGGGATCCAGCCCCTGAGACTCAGGACTCTCCTCCAGCATTGGGGAGCCAGTGCTGGTGCTCCAGCCTCATCCCCGTCATCCCCTTGTGGGGCTGGAGTACACAGATCTACTAGCCCCCCCCGCACAGGCTCTGGTCTGTGATAGGGATGTAAGAGACTAGTCAACTATCCAATAAGTGGAAATTTATTGGATATTTGACTAGTGATGCAACTAGTCACTTTCCCCCCTTGCTATCTCTATCAGAGAGAGGCAGCAAAAGGGGAGGAGCAGGAGATGGTGCTGAGGGAAGGGGTAGCTGGATCTGAGGTGCCAAGTAGCAACTCCCAGACCTTGGCATTTTTAAACTGCCGCTTGTGCACACGGAACTCAGCTGGGGCTTTGCCCACCCCCCAACCCCCGGTGGCACTCTGACTCTGCTGCCTCCCCCCCGGGGCATGCTTGGGCTCACTGCCCCCCCCTCCCCACCCAGCTGGGGAAGCAGCAGAGTCTGGTCTGGCAGGGAAGGTCGGGGTTTCTACACAGGAAGCCTGACCTAGTGCTGCAGCTGCGCTGAGATCCTCACTACATGGCAGGGGGGAAACTGAGCTCCCTTCTCCCGCACCCCTGCTAGGAGAACAAGAGCATGCTGCTTGGAGGCTTTCCCTGCTACAGCAGGATGCCAAGCCAGGTAAGAGTCCCCTCTCGTGCCCAGACACCGCACCCAAATCCCCCTCACTCCCCTCCCCCACCAAGACCCCGCATTCCCAGCTTGCTCTGACACCCTGCTACATATACAAGACTGTTATTAGGGGTTCTGCGAAATTCTTTCAAGTTTAAAGGGGTTCCGTGGCCAAATAAAATTGGGAAACACTGCTGTAGTCTATCAAGGAGTAACATGCTTTTATATAGACTAATATGGATGATTACTGGGAGGAAAAATGTTGGTTCTTTATTGTCTTGGGGAAATGCCACAAAATGGTAGCAAACAAATCCTACCTTCCTTTCCAATGCAAGGTCAAAAGATATACACAGTTTCCTATGTTCCCCCACACTTTTGCCACAGAAAAAACATGGCTTCTAGGAATATTTTGAAGAAATTCCTTCTGAGTAAAAAAGGGAAACTGTGTCAAGTGGAAGCAATACAAGAAAGAGATGTAGGGCCTAGTTACAAGAATGAAACATCATAAGGAAAACTGCTTATTGGGAGAAAATTATACTGCTGAAGATGTGGACGTGTCTGAAGAAGAATGTGGACGAACTGGTTATTAACTTAAATAATTCACTTTGCAATGCATCATTCTTCAAGAATCTATGCCTTTTAATATCGATGTGATTTAACAACTACATTCCCAAGCTGTTTGTTATGTTGCAAGACAGGAAAAAAAGTTTAGCTTAGCTAATCCCTATGGTTTGTTTAATTAGTTAACGAGGTTTAGAATCTATCACCCAAAAATACGGTACAGAACATAGCAGGAAGAGCAATCTAGAGTTGCCATTTGCCAGTGTTATTTTCTTATTTTATATTACACAATACGCACCCCTTACTATGGAACATTACGGCCACAGACCATAATGATGCTGTAAATCTATTCCCTATTTTACTTCAGGATAAATGAGTTCTCTCAAGGGAACCACATCCCATACTTGTTTTCCTCAAAAAAATGGAAGTGCCAGTGACTTCAGTGGGGCTTACTCCAAAATTCAGTGTACTCTAAAAGTGTAGTCAGTCTTAGTTTTTTTTGGTAATTTGGAACAGGATCTGCATCCTTGCTGAAAACAAAATGTAAATGATTAACTGGACAGTAGAGTGAGAGGAACTGAGAAGAATGACTGTTTGAGATCATTTCTGAATTGTGTTTCAGGATCCCATTAAAGCATAAGAGACTTTGACTGTATCTGCAACAACGTCAGAGTCATCCCTTAGTACTTTTAGCAGCAGTGCTGCAGTGAAACATTTCAGACAAAGTAGCAGTAGCAAGCAAAAGATTTCAATCATCCAGTAACCCTACCACCATGGATGGGTTTGTAGTAAAGATCAGTGAAGACCAATAAGATACCATAGTTGTTAATAACATTTCATGTACATTGTTGAGGACTTACAACCAGATTACATTCCACTTCCACTAGTGGAAGGTTGCTAGATACAATGTGAGAGAAATACCAAGGGGACATTTGCCAGTTTGAAACCTTAAGGGGTGGAGCAATGTACACAATGATCCAGTAATGTGTGCCTGTGGTACCACAGAAGATAGGGGCTGCATCTCTTTCAGAAACAATAGATATATTGGGAAATGCCCACACTGCAGAATATTTAAAAGTGGTAGTGAAAGCTGTTAAAAATTCAACGATCATGCCCACAGTTCTGTCACAGACAATGCTGCAAACAGAGCAAAGATGAGAAGATACTTAGAAGAAACAGAAAGATGCTCCTTAACATATGGCTGCAGTTGCCATTTAATGCATCTTTTAGTCAAAGACTTAATTCTGTCTTCTCCAGGAATAACAGACAATATTGTTCTAGTCAATTCCGTAACAACCATATTGCTTCAGCTTCCCTGAAGAGAGTAGAAAGATCCTAACTAATTCTCCCTCAAGATGTTCAAAGGAATTCTGTGGTTGATTGTTTTGAACAATTTATTAAGAACCAGCCTGTTCTCATAAAACTTTGCGAAGAAAGCCGCGATTAAATAGATGGAAGTGTCTCATCCAAAGATCTAACACTGGATTAGAGAGGCATGTAGAGGATATATGCTTTGTATATCAATAGCCTTAAACTTCAGAGAAATTGCTGCTACACTGTTAATGCTGTTGAAATTTGAAAGGCACTTCAAGAGATATTGACAAAAGAAATACCTCAGTAGAAAGTTAAACTGCAGGCAATAAAGCAGCAAGTAAATCAAGCACTAACTCCACATTATTTTCTTGTGAATATGCTCTACTCCAGATATAAAAATAGATATGTCTAACTTCTGAAGAAAATATCACTCCTTAGTTATGCTGGTCATAATAAATTTCAGGGATGGAGGGAAACCATTTAATCAGTACATGTTTACTGATGAGGTTTTGAACAAAGTCACTCCCTTCAATTGGTGGAAATCATTAGCCAGGCACCTTGAAATAGTTTCTTCAGTTGCTAAGCCAACTTTTCAAGCAGTAGCTTCCTCTGCAGGCACAGAAAGAATATATTCATCATTCAAAGTCAAGAAATCAACTGGGAGGTGAAAAAGCAGGAAAACTCGTATTTCTGTTTCAGTTTATGAATAAAAATGATAGGAGGAGTGGAGAAGATGAAAGCTAGTTGTAGATGTTTTAAGGACACCATATATTTAGTGCTATGATTCCCTGTCTGTCATAATTAATAAAGTTTGAAAATTAATAGTTTAAGGACAGCTGTCAGCTGGCAACTGAGCCAAGAGACTGCTGCAATTGCAAATATGAAACATTTAAGATTTCAAAACAACAAGTAGTCCTGTGGCACCTTAGAGACTAACAAAAATATATATAGCATCATGAGCTTTCGTGAGTAAAATCCATGTCAGATGAGCTGGAGGCTGCAATGGAGATAACAGGAACCCAGAATTTTTAACAGGACTTCACATTGTTTTTAAAGTTAGAGAGTAACATGGCTACCCCTTGAAACTATTTATAGCTTAGTTTAATACAATGTGCGCTATTTTGCTTGTGTGTGATTTAGTTCTTACCATTCCTAATGTACTGCTGCTTCATCTGCAGCTTGCATATTATGTACTGTAGCTTGCATATTATGCACTATTTCTTAAATTAATAAATATCAAGTTATCTAAAAGATTATATAAAGTACACCTTCCTAGATGCTGTAAAATGCCATACTGAGTTATAAATTAACAAATTGTAGTGATCAGATTTACACCATTGTTTAAGTAGTATGTGAAGTAGTATCAGTGGCAAACTTGATTTAAATCAATGATTTTCTCTTGGTGTTTTAAATCAATCCACCGAGTTGTAAACATATTACAATTAAATGTTAAGTGCTAAGAGTTTAGATGGTAGCCCATTAACATTTTGATTTAGTCATAAAGCTCTGAAACTTTAAACAGGATGCCAAGATAAGGAGGAAAACCAGTATTTAGGAATGTGACCATGGGCTTTAAGAAGATAATCTGTTAGCACATCTCCACACAACCACTAGAGAAACAGCAAACAGATTAATATTAACATTATTAAGTCAGCAAGCCACACAACATTTTCCAGTCTTTCCAGGAAAAAAAATTAAGCCAGAACAGCAAAACATGTAAAGAAATTAAAGAGCTTAATTTCCTGAAGTGGCCATGTTCCAAGTTTGGATGGAACTGTAAGAGCTGTGCTGTCAGCATTGTACCTTTAAGGCCTGGATCAATGAGAGAGAGAGGGGCCAGCACGTTTTTCAACTGCCAATCTCTGTTGCTTTGAGAAAGAAGCCAAGGAGGAGGCTAGGTCAGCTGCTTAGTAGTTCTACATAAAGCTAACAATCTGGAATAATTTTAAAAATAACTTTCTAGTGATGCAACTTTATTGTTAACTGATTTTCTGCTTGATGTTCTATTCCAATTAAAGCCAGTGTAATGCACTTAAGACAGTCAGTGGCTTATTGGATTCTCCAGCCATAAGCCTGATCAGCAAGATGCAACTTGCTGTTCCTCAGAAACAAAAATTGTTTTGATTTACAAACACACACACACAAGCGCTCCTTAAAATACATTTCTTTTTAATTTGGACGTTGATAGCTCTGCAAAATACTTCTTCCAGTCCCTTTTCCACAACTGATCATAAATATGTTCATACTCTGCACCCAAGTTAGTTTAAAAAAAGCCTTTCACAAGACATCAAATCCAGCCTCCCACTTGCTCTCCCCAAGAGGTCTTACCGGTTAGCTTTCTTTCATCACAATGCAACATAGTTAAGAGCATTTCCTCTTAGCTTAAACAGTTTCAGAAGAAAAAAAAAACAAGCAAATCAAGGCCTTAAAGAATAAACGCTTCTACTTTTCTGAATGTAAGACAATTCCTTAAAACATTTTCACTCCTTTGCAACTTTTGGATTTCAGCTGAAATATGCTTTATGTGAGGGGAAAAGGAGCTCCTTCCATCCCAAATCCCCCCTCTAAAACATCAAGTCTCAGTGGTTTAGATAACACATTAAGAGAGTTTCCCAATTATTAGATGACACCTGAGACCTGCAACCTGGTTTCTGCATGTGGCCACCACAATGTTTAGAAAGTTAAAGCCTAACCATAATTGTCACAATGCTAGTTCAGACATCAGTGACAGCATTTCACACAGCTCTGCAGGCACAGAACTACTAACAGATTACAAGTATTTGCAAATATAATGTTTGTTACATTACCGCAGATGAGCCTGATCAGTTTTAGTTCGGCAAACAGACAAAAATGGTCCATTCATACCCTGTGGCCAGAACAGCCTTCTCTGACATAGGACAAACCCCACCCAGTACACAGGAGTGAGCCAGCAACCCCTGTACTGTCAAGGTGTCTTATCACTGCATCATCAGAACAGTAGACCTAGATAAAACACCTCTTGCCTACTCTGTCCTCTAGCTGGTGTGAGATCATTTTGGCATCTTCAAACCATTTGTTAACTCCATCATTGCTATTAATCAAGACCAACAAGAACTTAAGTTCCTTCATCCTTCACCTTTTTCAATATACCAGATGGTCTCATCTAAACCTTAAGATGGAAACTTACTCCTTGCCTGATCAGGCAACTTTTCCCAAATTTGTTTGAAAGATAGGGGACAGCTAGGAGAAACAGGGCCACAGGACAAAACTTTGAAAGCTGTGTCACCGAGCAGATCAAACCGGTTCATTTTCTTAAACAAAATAAACCAAGTTCTCAATGTGGAATACATGAAGTGAGCCCACTGAGACCTGAATGCTTTCCCATTAAACTTACAGATCAGATCAGCCTCTGCAAGATACAATATGGACACTGTGAAAAGGAAAAATTAGTTCAACAACTCAGCACTCAGTAAGTGAAGGGCTTTGCTTTTTGATTGCAAGTGACAAACATTCTTAAAAACTGATGTGCTCTGTTGGTACAAATCTCCCTTTTCTTAATAGCTTTAAAAAAAACTGTCCAAAAAAAGCAAGTTAAGTTGTCTCACAAAAGCCCTGCACACAAAGAGTGTCATATTTAAATACACAACTGATGCCAACTTTTTTTAAAAAAACCCTCCCCACACACATACACGCGCACACTTTGGCACACAAGCCTTAAGTTATTTCATTTGAACATTTCAAAGTTGTAGGACAGCCACTGTTTTTGCCTGGCATAACGGAATCAAGCAGTGATGTTGGTATATAGCATGAAGAGAAGGCACAAATGCTAAGCAGCTCAATAGCATTTCTGCAGTGCTGCTGAACACTTGTACCAGGATGATTTTTCCAAAGCTGCTGGTTGATTACATACATATATATATATATAAAAACTAACATAGACATTCACCGTTTTCAATGTGAAAACAGTAAAATGTAATTCTGAATAATTGTGCATTTGCCATAGGGTCCTTGGGAAAAGGAACCATAAAAATATGTATTAAAAGTCTTTTTTATTGTTTCACCCTTAAGTAAAGAGCAAATATACATTTAGTAAGCAGAGCTCAGATCCACTTCTACTGAGGACCTGGAAGTCTTTGCCTTTAATCCATTCCCCCTGGCATATCCAGACAAAGGAACAGCTTGCAGCTCAGAAGTGGCTAGCGTTCCTGAGAGATCTGCAGCTCTGGCTAACCTCATTAGCCAGTAGGAGCTGAAGATTCATTAGGCCTTCAAGACTTGTCTGTCTCAGCCAAATGCTGCTGTAATGGACTCTGCAGATCAGCAGTTCTCTCTGCTAGGAAAAGCCTTACTAATGCATTGACACGCCCAGGCTCAAGAAGCAGCAGAGCTGTCAGAGCGACAAACGTGAACGGCCGCAGTTCTTTGTATTTCAACTGGGATGTAACACGAAACCATAAGTGCTGAGCTTATGTTTTCTTATTACTCAGAGGGCATGGTGTTGATTCCAGCTAGGACTAAACTTCCAGAAGAGGATGGGGGCGGGGAGGGCATTTCAGTGATAAAGAAACTAGCTGTGCAAAAAGAAAGTGCATTTAAAGGTAGCTTTAAAACCAGATTAAAGATCAAATTGCCACAGGAAGGAGACGCCAGCTCCTGCAGCCACGCTCCTTGGGTCGGCTGGGCTGACATTCATGCTTTCTTTCACAAGTCCGATGGACAGAAGAGAAGCGCGTGTCCCGTCCCTTCCCCTCCCCCCAGCTCCGACAGGGACACAGCTCTCCTGGCAGCTCACGCTCTCTCTTGCCCGGGTTGTTTTCTCTTGGCATCATTCCGTCAGCCCATCATCGAAACTCGTAAATGGGTGCACTGTGCTCAGGGACATGAGTTAGGTTCAGAGACTGATACCTGGGAGGAAGGAAAAGGAGGAGAGACGATGACAAGACACAACAGACCACTTCCCTGGGCCCTACATCTGTTCAGCTGGTTATACTTCAGGATCTGACCATTCAACTTCAGAATGAAGCAAACCCTAAAACCTGCTTCCTTGATTGAACCCTGATTGAGAGTCCCACTACTTTGGATTGTCTACAGTTGTTTGTATTTTGCTACAACTCTCAAAACATTTCACCTGAAGCGTTGGTTACACCCAGAGAGAAGCAGCCCAACTTACACCAAGAGCTCTTCAGACTCTTAGACCATTCCATTCATTGCTGTGCAGATATCCCAGCCATTCCCAATCGCCTAACATCTCTGTGGCAGGTAGGACTGTTGCTTACTGAAATACAGGCCTAGCCGTTTCTTTGCTCTCTTTTCTAAAGGTCTTTGCCAGCCTCCTCCATGGATGCCTACTTTGCAGCTGATCCCCACCCCCCCAGGGCAGATGCAGAGTGTTGGGTGCAGGGAAACTGAGGTGAGAGACAGGGGAGGCCAATCCTGCATTGCTGTTTCCCGCTCAAACCCCCAGCCTTATTTACCCTAGCAGGGGAGCAAGCATGTGAGAAGTCTGTGACTTCTAGTGCAGAAGACTGGGCATAGCACAAGTTTTCTGAGTCCACAGGCAGCCTCCACTCCACTGATCAGGATCAGGGTGGACTGAAGCTGTAGCAGCGCCGCATGGCACAACCAGGTCAGCAATTTGGTTCCAGAAAGAGCCCCTTGCGTGGTGGTTCCTCCATTCCTTCCGTATGTGCTACAGGGATTTCTGGATTGTAAAGAAGGAAGGGGGATGTTCTGGCGTACGGCAGGTGTAGCTTCCTGAGGAGCTACTGATGCCCAGAGTTACTGAAAGGGCCGAGTTAGCAGCTACTTGCCACAAGGCTTCACAACAGTTATTAGTATGGTGTTTCCAAGATGGGGGTATTAATACAGTGACAGTGTTATAGCCAGTAAGAACACCCTGTTCACAAGATCAAACAGTACCCCCAAAGGTTCAGCACTGAGCAAGAGCCAAGTGCAGGAGGCAGACATGAGACATGACTTTGACCTGCTGGCGAGCAATGTTCCCTCTAATCTTTTCCATCCATGTGCAGAATAAGATTTGTTAGGTGCACCGAGGCACGTGCCAATGTGTTCAGCAGTAGAAAAAAAATCTAGCTGTGGGCCCTCTGCTAAATTAGCAGGGCAGCACTGAAGTCTCTCCTGAATGGCTGCAGAAGAGCCATTACATGGAACACGGCTGGTGAGCCCTGCAGCTAAGTGGCAGCATGGTGTGTTGATGCCCAGTGTCTAACAGGGTAAGTGGGGAAAGGAAACAGCCCGAAAGTCAATCTGGAAGAAAATAAAAGTGAATCTCCAGCACCAGAGTGCACAGTATTTTCATCTCAAGATGTCAGGTGGTTTTTTGCTACACCATAACTTGTAACACAAGTCACTGCTCCCTCTCAACAGCGGGCAGCTGAAGAATGAGTCACTTGGGTAGCATACAGTAAGTACCATGCCAGACTGGCAGAAGGAGGGAAAGAAAAGCTGCTGACATGTAGCAATAGTTCTTAGCAGCTGCCTTCCTCCTACACTTCAGATCTTTTGACCTCTATTTTACTGTGCTCCATGAGTAGTGACAGGAACGTGAATGGGTAGTATTTTATTCCAATGTTGGTGCTAGCACCTCCAGCTGACCTAACCATGCACGAGAGGGGCTGAAGGAACATTGTTCCATCAGGAGCACAGTAAGGCCCTACCTCCAATCCCTGGACTGGGACAGAGGAGCTCATACATTGCTAGACCCCTCAGCACACAGAAGGGAAGGGAGCTCTCCTTACCATTCTGAACTCCTGTGGTAGTAATAGCCCTCTATAGATGCTGCCGACTTCTGGAAGCAGATGTAATAAAACCCAGCAAAGGAAGCCCCACTGATGTCTTTGATCGTGTGATCGGGAACAAGGAACTGCTCCTGCACAAAAGGTAACAGAGGTTTGTATTCAAAATAGGTTTGAACCTTTGCCTGTGGGAAGTCTTGGGTTGCAGATTTGCACATGTTCTAAGACAGAGGGATCAAGCACTGGAAATTGAATAAAGATGTGGCTGAGAATGGCATTCAGAGCTGTGAACTTTTTTTGACATACCAACATGGACCAACGGGACTATTCAGCAGGTATGTAGTGACCATTGTACCTTTTTACAAGATTGCCACTATGACATTCTTAAAGGGACACTGTCTATTTGCAACTCAGCTTATTTTAAAGAGCACATCAGGAATAGTTTCAGCTCTTCCACTTGCCAATTTGGGGCTTACAATTGCATTTTCCTGTTTTCTCCCCTATCATCACACACCCCAGCACCTGGAGAGAGAAGTGCATTGCAGTGGCGGTGGCACCAGGACCCAGGCATTGGGTTGGAGGGGGGAAGGCAGTGCAGTGCTGGAGATGCCTTGCTCTGGGGGAGGAGAAGGGCATTGGGTTAGAATCGGGGGCTGGGGGTGCCTGGCTCTGGGGGAGAGAAGGGGGATTGGGTTAGAGCAGGGGGCTGAGGGTGCATGGCTCTGCGGGAGAGTGGGACATTGGATTAAAACGGGGAGGGGGGGGCTGAAGCACCTTAAACTCAAAGTCTTCATGGATGCAGATTAAGGCAGCCAACACAGATGTCATTTAAATTCCAGGGCCAAAAAAAAAAAAAAATGAATCAGCATGTACCTGGTTTACGCTGTGTTTCTTTTAAAAGGAAATTCAAAGGCTATTGTTTGCCAGGCTGAAGCAATTATTCTGAGATACGAGTCTCTCCCTTATTGTTTTTGAACCTCTCATATTTGCAATCTGGGACAGACTTGAATTTTTAGAACTATAAAAAAAGCCATAATCTTCGTAAGTAAAAAAGAATGAGGAAACCATTGCAGAGGTCAACAAGCTGGAGTGAAACAGGCACTTCAAATTGTGCTAATTTACCTCTCAGTTCAGTTTAATTTAAAAAAAACTAACAGGACATAATAGGGCAGTAATGTTAAATTTAAAATACATGGGGGGGATGCTTTTTTTTTTTTTTTTAAAGTGTGAGAATATTACTGTATTTTTGAAGGTTTGTTTTTTTTAAATTTGATGTTTGTTCCTTGTCAAGTTCTTTGAAGATCTATGGACTGGCCATGAATTTTTTTTAAGTGACTAGAGAACTTTTTTATTCCCCCCGTCCCCCAAATGTCCTGTTATGTTATTTTTATCATTACATTTTGTGTACTATATCTATATCTATCTATCTATATATAGATAAAAATAAATATATAACGTGGCTCTTCGCACTCTATCCACAGCTATTTTGGCTCTTCATCTCTAACTGGTTGGCCACCCGTGGGCTATACAGCGTGGCTACCTCCAGACTGCCGACAGAAGGATGCAAATAAAGCACTTTGAAAGTGCAAATGAGCCCGGGATTTAAATATCCCGGGCTTCATTTGCATATTCACGTTCCGGCACTGTGCTGATCACACACCATTTAGAAAGTGAAAGTGCTGTGTAGCCATGGTTCTGCCGACGGGGGAGCTTTTTCGACAGATCCTTTGCTGAGGAGTACAGGATCTGTCGGAAAAGCTCCCCGCTGTCGGCAGAACCGCGGCTATACGGCACTTTCACTTTCTAAATGGTGTGTGATCAGCACAGTGCCGGAACGTGAATATGCAAATGAAGCCCGGGATATTTAAATCCCGGGCTCATTTGCACTTTCAAAGTGCTTTATTTGCATCCCTCTGCCGACAGAGGGATGCCGTCTAGAGGTAGCCTATGTGTCTCTGCCAAAAAAGCATCTTTTATTCCTTCCATCTGCCTACATGTGTTGAGTGGTGCAGAATAACTTGACAGCAGCGCCATTTTTAAGAGGATTCGGTCTCAATCTCGAAGGGATAAATCCTTAGTGTTACCAGAGAGACACTTTTCCCAGAATGTCATTCTGCACGAAGGACCCACACATTTCAGTTTTTTACCTTCCACCTCATGAAGACATAGTCCCCGTTCTTCAAATCCTCATAATCAAAATCATCTGAGTTAAATGTTTTCGCATACTGATAAAAGGCCTGGAATTTCCCCTGAAAACAAAGGAAAAACAAAAATGTAGTCCTAGCTAGCTTTAAGTTAGCCAAGTTTATGAAGGGAAGAATGTGTTAACAGTTAAGAGTTTCTAGGAACTGCACCCTGCGTGGTCAGGAATAGGAAACAGAAATTCCAGTACGATTTTTGTTTTTAATCTCCAAGTTTGGGAATTTGTGATTGCTAAACTACCATGTCCCAGATTCCAGCCAGACTAGCTAGGCAACTCGCTTTGATCCAGGGCAGGCCTCCCTATCAAAAGCCACTACTGCTACTGGAGCCTCTGCTGGCAAGTCACAGTAGAGGCAGTAGGGATGAAATGCGCCATGCAACCATGGGGAGCTGGCTGAAGATTGTACCCCTACAGCTACTCCTCCTGTAACTGTGCGGCTGTTAAGCAGTGGTCTCCAAACTGTTCAGGGTCATCCCTCCCACCCCCTACAAAGCCTAGGGTTGCCAACTTTCTAACTGCACAAAGCCAAACACCCTTGACCTGCTTCCCTTCCTCAACCCTTCTCTGAGGCTCTGCCCCTGCTCACTCCATCTCTCCCCCCCCCAACACACTCTCTCGCTCATTCTCTCTAGGCAGGGGCAGGGAGTTGGGATTGGGAGGGAGTGAAGGGATCAGGTCTGGGTGGGGTGAGGACAGGAACAAGGAGTTTGGGGTGCAGGAGGCAGCTCTGGGGTGGGGCCGAGAGGTTTGGAGTGTAGGAGGGGCTTCAAGCTGAGGCAGGGAGTTGGACTGTAGGAGTATGGGCTCTAGGCTGGGTCCAGAAATGTGGGTGCAGGAAGGGGATCTTTTTTGAGGCAGAGGGTGCACAAAGTGTTTCAGGATGATGGCTCTAGGCATGTCCCTCAGCTCCTAGGCAGAGGTGTGACCAAGCAGCTCTGTGCAGTGCCTCCGCAACTCCCATTGGTCATGGTTCCTAGCCAATGGGAGATGTGGGGCTGGTGCAGAACAAGCAGCGCCCCCTCCCCAGGCCACTTCTATGCCTAGGAGCTGGCGGGCCATACCAGTCACTTCTGGGGAGTTGCATGGAGAAGGGATATAGGCAAAAGCATATATAGGTTAATGCTATAGACTAATGAATCCCCAATCCCGGCCAGTACATTTTTTAGCAGGCTGGCCAGCAGCCCGGCTCAGTCCTGGCTTGTGATGGGTCTGGGACCTACTCCCCTGTGGTTCTGCATTTAAAGTGTATTAGGAGCCGGGCGGGCAGGCATCCCAGCCCAGTTCTGGCTTGCACTGGGTCCGGGAGCTCAGACACACCCTAGACAGGGGCTGCTGCCACCTCGTGCTGCTGCCTCTGATATAGATGCAGGGTGCTCCTCTGAAGTGAGGCCAGAGTACACCAGCTGCTGGCCCCACCCCTGGGGACTATAGAATAGTCAACTAATCGATAAGAATTCCTGAGGTTACTTGACTATTCAGTTAACCGATATTTAACATCCCTAGCATGGAGCTAGGTAAAGAGCCTGCCAGCCCCACACCAGACTTTTAACAGCAACAGGAGCAGGGACAAGGCCTGGGGTGGGGTCAAGCAGAGCAGGGCTGCATGGTGCTCACTCCCTACCCCCTTCCTCCCCCGGGAACTGGCCTAGGCTCTGCCACACTCCTCCCCTCCCTAATAAAAATTTCCTCCATGCCCTACAGGAGGGCATGCCCCACAGTTTGGAGGACTTCTTTGTTTAAGATTCTCAGTTTTCAGGGTCATCAAGTCAGCACCTTTCACCAACAATTGAGAATATTTGTAATGAAAGTGTTAAAGACAAAACTCAAAAATACTTGACTGGAGAAATCTAACGTCCCTTCCTCTGTCCCTACAGGACAGAGGCAGCTCCAACAACTAAGGCCTGCCACTGTGATATGCACCCCCTCTCTCCCAGTTTGTGAAATGACTTCGATCAACCTGCAAGTAAGACTCTGGGATATAACCCATTTGGGCTGCTAAGCACACAGCTACCCTCTCTCCCAGTTTGTGAAATGACTTCGATCAACCTGCTAAGCACACAGCTGCTCCTTATATGCACTGGGCAGAGACCTGCAACTCACTGCAGTGCAGACAATAAGGGATTGATACCTGAGAGAGGTAAACATGTGAAATCTACCCTCACTGAGGGGAGCAAAGCCCTCCATACAATAGGGTGACTGGCAGAAATCCCCTATCCTGCCTCTCCCTCAGCAGAAGCACTAGGTTCTGTTAGGAAGTGGGGCGGAAATTCCTTCTACTGAATAGGTTCCTGTGTTGGTCTCTTCTACTCCCCTCCCCACCCCCAAGCGTTACTCTGGGCATGGCCCCATCAGCCAGGAAGTCATATTATTCATTCTCAGGAACAGATCCAAGATTGTGGCTGGAAACCCTTGTAAAGTCTGCAGAGAAATCATCCAGCCAAGCCAGAGAAGTTCAGTATGAACATTTCTGATCTACAGGCTTGCCTACATTGGTGATTCTTGCACGGACATAACAGCACAGATTTTAGTGCACTGCTGAAAGTCACCAGTGTTGCTCTTTATCCAAGTGCAGCTTGTGCCAGAGTAGCTTCTCCCAATTTCAAATAAGCTGGGTCATGTTGGTGCTGGTCACTTCTCACCGTTACAGTGAGAAAAGCAACATCAGTACAGCTACCTTAGTAGGGGCGGGGGAAAAAAAGGACAGGAAAGAATCCTTATGAGAGAAAGCAACCAGGAGAAAAGCCAAAAAGAGAACTTTTCAGGCTTTGTATATTGACAACAAAAATACACCACCACCAAAGCCTTCATTTGTTTCTTTCTTTGGAAAAACCTGTTGCATATGCCCTTTAAATAGGTAACGTGTTTAGGGTGGTTTTAGTTCTGTAGTTGGTTGCCAATATGTTGAGTTACCCAGTGTTTACGATCGACGTCTTCATCTGCATCCCATTTCCGTGTTAAGAAGGGGTGCTTTTTACTGATTATTTCCCCTTCAAAGAAAGTAGTAAGGGTTGGGTATTCCTAGGAGGAGAATGAAAAAGATTAAGAAATGTTGCCAACAAACAAACCAACCAACCAACCCAGGCCCTGTATAGAACAGGACACACACACTGATACGGGCTTGTACTTTGGCAAACAATGACATCAGCACCAAACCTCACAAAGTGGTCTGAAAGTTTGGTCTGATGTCCCCCTTCTGCTTTATACCTTATTTTATGCTGTCCCATGAACTTTCAACAGGATGTCCCTTCCCATATACCTCTCCCATAGCCCATTTCTTCAATTCATCTCTTCTACAGCAGTCCCCTTGCCTGCAATTGGTCTGCTGACTCCCCACACCTTACATTTGCTCCTTAAGAAGGGATTAAAGGCTATGGTAAAATTAAAGATAAAGGTGACAGAGAGAACAGCCAAAGCCATACAGAAGAATTAAGCTGGATAGGCTTGCCCTGCTCACATATGCTGAAACTATGATCCACTTTAGAGATCCCCTGTGTGGAAGTTCTCAGCAACCTCTACGACAGGGATGAGCCACCGCATATCACCAGCTGAAATACAAAGCCTGTGTCTGGAGAAGCCTGTAAGCAAAGCAACTGAGGAAAGGAATGCAGAGGTAGAAAGAAACCCAACAATCTGCGCGCTAAACCAGTCATTTTGCTGGATGCCAGAGAGGTCAGCTGTCAACACAGGCAGGTCCTACATGAAGGGTGTGGAGAGAAGTACTTCAGGAAGATCTAGCTTGTCTGGAGGTTTGGGACAACAAAGATACACGCTGTCACCAGTTAATTGGCTGTGTAAAGTCAGGTCCTCTTCAATCAACCTTTACAGAGGACTGTCAGGTTAAAACAATTTTTAATTAAGCTTCCTACAAAATCACTTATATTTAGTTGGTTGATAGTGTGTGAAAAAAAGCAAAGGGCGGCAATTAAGGTACCCATGGCCCTCTTAATTACGTGGTTTTAACCTTCATATCTCTAGCTAGAAATGGGAGCAGAGACTCCCCATCACTTCCATGGAGCATAGGAAAGGAATTTAGTAACAACTGCTCACCTCTGTAAGGCCTTTAATCTTCAAGTACCCACAAAGATAGGAGTTTTCCATATCCACATGCTAGGACAGAGAACACAAAATCTATAAGTGTGTGGGTCCAAGAACAAGATACCCAAGTTGGACCAATACACTTTGGTGCATTGTATCTTAAAGTCTCAGTTTTGTTAAGGATGGTTCAGAAGTGCATTGCCCAGCATTGTTCATAGGTCATTCATGTTGATCACACAGCGGTATCTGGACTCAGGAGAAAATCTTTTAGAAGTATCCACTTTGCCTTTTCCACAAGCAGGCTGGGGAATGTTTCATGTACTTTCAGCCACTTAATATGTTCTACTTGTACAGCACCTTTCACCCAAGAATCGCAAAATGTTTTACAAAGATGGGTAAGCATCCCTGTTTTACAGAAGGGACATTGAGTCGGAAGTCAAGGGGTTTGCTCAAGGTCACAGCACATCAACAGAGCTAGTTTTCCTGATTTGCCTGTCACCTGTTCTAAACACATGCTACCAGCAATCAAGACATCTGTGAGTGACAAGAACAGAAGGAACATTCTCAATCAAATCTTTCTTTCTTGCCACCTGAAATTTTGGTTTCATCCTTGGCTTTAAGGGCAAGTGTTAGTTAATCCCTCACCACTTCCATAACCTGACATATATCAATAACTTCTCTGTACTTACCTGACACTAAGCCCTGGTCCCTTCTAAATACTGGTTGAATGTCTCTAATCCGGCACCCTCAGGAACTGACTGGTGTTGAACCAGGGAATTTGCTGGGCCATGGGAGATCAATATTGTCTAGTAACATTACCAGTGCTTTTTTTGTGATGGTACACACCAGTACAGCGTACCGTCACCTTTATTTGGGAGCACTCGCTGTTTTCCCCTGGCACAGCCCCCAGTCGGCCTTGGTAGCACTCGCGCTGGATGGAAGCCCGCTCGGGACACGGAGCAATTAAAGGATCCGCAACTAAATTTCGGCCCTGATCTCCCAGGTCTCCCTAGATACTCCCCAGCTTGTCGGGGTTTTTTTTGGGGGGGGGGGGGCTCGACAAACATTTATCAAATTTTTTTTTGAAACCATCTGGCAACCCGAGTACTGGCACCTTGCTCTCTCTTTTTTTGCATCTGGCAACCCGAGTACTGGCACCTTTCTCTCTCTTTTTGTTGTTGTTACCCCCCACTGAGCATTACCAACACTTCCACTGCTTACTGGGCTCTTAGAAGACAGTTGGGGGTAAATTAGAGCTAAATAGCAGCACAGGACTCAGAGCCAGGACTGGTTGCTGTAAGCAAACTTTACGGGGCCGTGGTAAACTTGGCCATACCCAAGGTAAGTGGACACCTGGCTAACTAAAATCATGCCAGACCATGGATATTGCCGGACTAGAGAGGTTCAACCTGTAATACCATTGTTGCTGCACATGGACCTTCTCTGGAATTTTTGCCCTGTGGAAAAGTCTCTCTTGAAATTATATCTTAAAACATACTTGTCTCCCATCCCCAATGCCTTCATTTCTTCCCCACTCCAGCTCTTTTATTGGGCTTACTACTGAATGTTTACTTTATTTGCCATGCAGCACCTCATTACTGGGATACTTTCATCTAGAGCCTTTCAAAAGCCAGCAGCTTTTATAGAAACTTCTGCTGGCAAGCCCTCAAATCCTGAGGTCAGTTCTCAAAGCCAAATAAAGAGTTTGAAAAACCAGATAAATAGGAAAGATTCATCCTTCCCAAATGTAACAAATTAAGCGCAGTATTTCACTGCACATAAACAGAAAAATTGTAGCAAATTCCATGCTTCAGACAATATACAAAACATCAGGGTTTAAGCTAAAAGACTAGCTATTCTTTGGGGGAAGAAGAGCTGCAGTGAAGTTGATCAGCCATGAGAGGACGCCACTGAAGCTAGCTGTTCCAGGTACAGCTGGTCCCCGAGTTACAAACGGTCAACTTATGACCATTTGTACTTACAACTAAACCTCCCATTAAGCGTTCATAAGCCGGTCCCCGACTTACGAACAGCGCGGTTGCATTTAAATGAACGGGGCCCGACTTACGAACACTTCGAGTTACGACCATGTGTTTGGTACGTAACTCGTTCGTAAGTAGGGGACCAGCTGTACTGTTGTGCTGTTGACAAATGTAGCACTGTATGTGAAGACTGACAATGTGATTTACGTGCTTACGTCTGCTGACCTCAGGAATTTGACTTTGTTCCACAACACTGACCAAAGCATTTTAGCTCTAATTATATAAAACCCCAGTTCTTTTGCAAGGCAGTTGGAAACAGGGCAGTAACATGCCACATGTTTTATAGCGAGAGTGTATCAGATGTCTGGCTTGCTGCTTATACACAATCCCACATCTCGCCAGCTCTGCTCACAGTGATCATGCCAATGCCTACAACTAAAAATAAAGCACCCAGAAACAATCACGCTCAACAGGAATGGGAGGGCTGCAGAGACAAGTGATCAGCTCAAATGAAAGCTGCAGCACAGCTGGCCCCCAACAGCTGCTTTTGCTACATACCTTTCTGGGACTGATTGCTTTGGTTTGCTCTAAGGCAGGGGTGGGCATTTTAATGCCTGCAGGCCACATTTGGCCCGCTATGCCTTTTGATTCAGCTTTCTGCCTGCTGGAGCCCAAGGCTGCTCAAAACAGCAGGTGGTTCCCTCTATGTGCTGCGCACTCCTGGCTGGGACAGAAGGGGAGACTTTGCATGCTGCCCTTGACCCCAGGCCAATCACCACAGCTCCCAATGGCCAGAAACCAACCAATGAGAGCTGTGATAATTGGATGGGAGTGGAGGCAGCATGTGAAGTCCTCATCCACCTTGCTGGAGTGTGCGGCACCTAGAGGGAGCTGCCAGCTGTTCTGAGCAGCCTGGGGCTGCGACATGCAGATAGGCTGCCTTGGGGTCCCTGGTGGGCTGCTGGCTAGAAGCCACCTAGTGTAAGCACCTCCTCAACAGAGCCTGCCTCTGGTACTCCCACCCCCTAATCCCTGCCCCAGGTCACCACCTAGACCCTCTGCAAACCCTATCTCCCCCCGCCCCAGTCACAACTCCCTCCCAGACCCTGCAATCCCTCCTACACTCCTCTACCAAGCCAAAATCCTTTCCTGCACCCTACCTCCTCTGGGACCCTGAACCCTAATCTCCTGCCCCAAGTCACAACCCCCTCCTTCATCCAAACTCTCTCTCAGACCCCTCTCTTGCACCCCACACTCTTCCCCTAAGATCCCTTCTTCACCCAGCCTCTACCCCAGACCCCACACCGTCTCTATAGAAATGCAGCCCTTAATCCCGTAACAAAATCTTGGAGTGCCCTCCCCATCCAAAATTATTGCCCACCCCTGCTCTAAGGCCTGGTCCACACTTACAATTTATCAACCTAGCTATATGACTGAGGGGAGTGAAAGATTTGCACTGGATCACTGCATTTAAGATGACCTAGTTCCCAGTGTAGAAGCATTTAGACCGAGGTGTCTGTCCACTTAGGTTATCTCTACTCTTCAACCACTACAGTGGTATAAAGACACTGCTTCAGTGTAAACATTCCCTACAGAGATGGGAGGTTCCACCTCCCTGAGCCACAGTAGCTTGGTCGATGGAAGAATACTGGGGTTCAGGCAACTTATCTATATCTCTAAGGGATGTGGATCTTTCATACTTTGAGCAACACTGCTGGGCAGACCTGGCCTTAGCTACCACAGACCACAGAGCAGGATTAACTACCACAACAGAAAAAGCCCTGTTGCAGTAAGAAGGGATTACACTATACCACAATGACACATCTGCAGCCTTGAAGCTGTGCTGCTGACATGCCAGTAGGCACGGCCATTGTCCCCTTGTCACGGTGAGAGCCAAACACTTCCAAGACAGAGACAAGACATGCAGGGATTGTTAATCTCAGGGCTGAAAGGCTGAAATCCCCATGCAAGCCCCCAGGGCCAAAACACCTATGATCAACGTTTCCTCTAATCTTTTCCAACCATGTGCGGAATACATTTATACGTGCACAGAGGGATGTGCAGATGTGCACCACCAGTAGAAACAAAAAGCCTAGCTGTGGGACATGCTAATCACCGGGGGCGTCATTTGAATTTCTGTGCACAGCTTGGCAGTGTCTATGATGGCTGGAGAACAGCTTACACCCAGATGACAAGCATGTGATGCAGTAGTTTCCTCCCCAGCCCTCTTGATGTAGCCTGGCTTGCCATGCAACTACCCACTCAGCCAGTCCCAGCTGCTTTTCTTCCTCAACTGCAGCTGTGGGAAGAAGACTCAAGCTAGTTTCATTCACTTACTCTGTTCTACTCCCACTGCTCCAGGAAGGGGCAATTTGGGCTGTAGGCCTGATGGGTCCCTAGAAAGGTGTCACCTACCTTGCCCAGATCAGAGATTGTTTTTCTCTGTTATACAGCTACTCTTGAGTTTCTGACCCAAATTGGGGGCAAAGGGTGTTCTGGGGAAGGGGATCCACCCACATCACCTGCCCCTCGCAAGTGCTGCTGGGCCAGGGTACATCTGGAGTCATGAAGGCCTTCCCTGGGTAGGAAGGGTCCCTAACCTCCCCTGGACAGCCACCTCACAGACCCAGCCTGTGCTATTTGGTCTGGGGTCCCCACCTGATCTCTGAAGATGAAGTTCCCTAGAAGTGGGGGACCCAAAACAAAGGTCTCAGGAGCAGTAGGTCCCAATTTGAGGGAAGGGGTGCCTTAGGAATGGAGAAATCACATGAGGGGATGTTATGGGGTCAACATGGATACATAAAGGAAGGCAGTCCTTGTGGACATCTCAGGGACCAAGGACCCAATCTGAGAAAGAAAGATGCTTTAAAATCAAATATTGCATGTACCGATGTTGGTTCTTG